CAATTATTGTATACTTATAATACACTGTATACTTTTATTTTGTCTCTTCACTTATATACTTTAGATTTAAAGGTCCAGTGTGTAAGATTTAGGTGAAAGGGATCTATTGGCAGAAATTTAATGTAGAATAACCCTCATGATGTTTTCACTAGTTCGTAAAATTATTTGAATTGTAGTTTTCTTCACCCCAGAAAAGGCCCTTTATATTTAAATATTTGTTTTTTACATTAGTCCAGACTGGACGAACTAAACACCTTTTGAGTTTTTATGACAATTAAAGTCTATCACAGTTTTTTTTCTCATGTTTGGAAGGAGAGGGTGAGGTGAGGGGTGTTCAGCTGCAACAAGACACTTCAACACTAGACATCACAAAATTCTACACACTGAATCTTTAACTATACTGTTGTTATTGTAAAGTAATTGTATACTGTGTGCTTTGATCTCATAACATACAGATCAAAGTCACTCTAACAGTGCCCCTCAGACCTGATCTCCACTGATCTCAGGTCTGATTCTCGGGGTGAACCAGCGGATCTCATTCGCTGCTCCTCCAGTGGGCGGAGTAGCGGGGCTCTGCCTCTGCCGCTCGCAGCCGCTCGCTCCTCCACTCATGCGGACCCGCTGACTGGGATGGACTAGCCAGCGGGGTTCGGTGCGGTGGTTGGTTGGACTGTCGGTGTGCTGGGGCTCGGGCGACCCGCTGGACCATGGCTGCCAAAGACGACCTGTACAGTAAAATCCTGCCCCGGAGGCTCCGGCAGAGCCGACCGGGCTCGGTGAAATGTGGCTCCAACCTTGACGTGCTGTTGTCCATGGGCTTCCCCAGACCAAGGGCGTGAGTAGGCTGACCGAAACACACGGACATGTTACCTACACGTGTGTGTGTGTGTGTCTGTGTGTGTGTCAGTGTGTTGGTGGTGGTGGTGGTGGGAGTTAGCGGACGGGTCAAACGCAGCATCCCTCCTCTGCACTCGCTGTTTCCCCGTGTGACGAGCAGCTGCTGTCCGTCTACCACCTCTACCACCTCCTCCACCTCCTCCACCTCCTCCACCCAGCTGTGCCTTCACACACAGTTAAACAGGTGAGAGTAGATTTAGATTCATTAGAGAATGGAGCAAAGTTAACAGGAGTGGAGGAGTTAGCATCATATGTGACTTTCTGTGGCTCAGCTCGAGTTGTGGTTCTCCAAAATTCAAAACTCACTCGTTGACAGCTTTGTTGGGGAAACACACAGTTTGTTTGGATTCACGTTTTATTTAAGTGCTATAGACCTCAGTAAGAGGAATTTGAATTTCAGCCATGTTCATGAGGAGCTGTCATTTCTGTGAGCTGGAGTCATGAACTGTGTGTGTGTGTGTGTGTGTGTGTGTGTGTGTGTGTGTGTGTGTGTGTGTGTCATAGGCCACAGGTTAAGTATGGACAGACGCCATGTACCCAATTGGAAAACAGCTGATTCGAGGGGTCAAGTCTCCTGGAAACTAATGCAAGTCTATGTAAAGTCCCCAAAAGTCATCTCTTACAGTCCTTGTTTGTGTGTGTGTGTGTGTGTGTGTGTGTGTGTGTGTGTGGCGGGGGAATCACCCAGTGTCCTCTGCTGCTGCTGAATGGAGGGACTGTCTTTTCGCCCTGGCCCCGATCAGTGAGTTCATATCTGCCCTGTCGGCTGGAGGCTCTCACTGTAAACACTGGTGTCCTGTGTATACCACCAGCCCGGAGAGCAGCGGGTCACACTTCAGCGTACACACAGCACCACAGTACGACTCGCAGGGTTTTTCATTTTACAGTCTGACGGGACATACGAGGGAGATGTACTCACAAAGGTTCTGAGTCGTCGGTTTGTCTGCCAGAGGAAGAAATGAGGACTTGGTTAAATCGCTTGTGTGGGTGAAGCAGAGGTCGATGGTGTCAGCTCTGTGGCTGTGGTTCATCTGTGAATGGACTCCTGGTGATGATTAGAAGTTACTGACTGAACGGTCTGAGACGCGGAGGTAGGACATGATTCTGGAGCGGTACGTGACAATAACGTAACAGCAGCGATACTGGATTGTGTCTGTAACATACAAACATGTACCTCGCTTTGGAGTTGAGCACCGTTCACGTCTGAATTGATCCTTTTCAGACCTGGAATTCAGAACTGGAAACCGTTCGTGACGGTGTCTGTTAACGGTGTCACCCTCTCCGTAGGTGTGCACTTGCATTTCCTGTTACGTTGTTGTCAGCAATACTGCAGCGCTAGTTTTGTGATCGTTCCCTGTCATGAGTATGCGGTTCATGTACTGTTCCTGCTAAGCTTTCAGAGTTTACCCATGGATGGAATAAACACTTTTATTGAACACCACTTTTTATTTTCTTAATTCATTGATTTATCGTTTTCTCGATAAAATGCCAGAAAACAGTGAAATATCTTGTTATAGTTTCCCACAAACCAAAGTGATGTTTGCGCAGCTAGAGCCAGTGAATATTTAGCAGTTTTGCTGAAGAAATTACTGAAACTTTACTTTTCAGACATTTAAAAAAAAAAGATATGGGTCCCTTAGTTTTGGTTTGCTGAATTATTGTGATCAAAATACTATATGTACTGGGTGATACATTTTGTAATTGAGAAATAAAATAATGTAAATCCTCTCTGATGTACAAACCATGTAATTACAATGCCGTGTTCAAGTTGTTATATCTGGCATTTCTTCACTGGAATTACACCAGTATTGCTTTTTCATTGGCAAGTTCATTTATCAGTGTTCGTAAATGAAGAAAACATCACTTCCTTTGTGTACAAGAGCATTTTCCAAGGAATGACCTCTCCGACTCCAGTTGGTCAGAACAGCAGATGGAAAAGCTTTCATACCGGCTCTACGGTTGAATCAGTATCGTGTCAAATTAATGAGCGAAAGTACACAAAGCTATTTTTATGCGTGCTATCTGAAGTTGGCGATGAAGTATAACAGGACTTCTCTTTTTCTGTAGTTCATACACTCATACACTTCACCCAGACACATGTCACTTATGAAGAGTGTTTGGACGGACGCTGTGGTTTGCTGAATGGACACAGCAGACGGCGACAGGCCCCCAGGCACGCCATCATTGGCCTAGAACACACTCCCCGCAGGGAAGCCACAACCTCTTTTATGTCGGCCCACGACTACTTGGCCTGGACACGGCCACTTATTAATCCCCGTTCTCTGGCTGTCTGTCTCTGTCTCTCTCTCTTTTTTTCTGTCTTGAAGTTGACCCACTAAATTTCCTGACCAACTTCAGGTGTCCTGGTTCTGTTTAAAAAGGATTTTTTTTAAAAATCTGATGTTGTTTTGTGTGGGGCACCCCCTCATGGCTGCCAGTGTTCACACAATAGAGATTAGATAACTTTTATATAATGGAGTTTAGTGATATCAGCACACATGGGTGACAACGGAATACAAACTGCTGTTGTAACTTCGACAAATGATATTGACCTCATCAGAATCAGAAAAGCTTTATTGCCAAGTAAGTTTTTTACACATACATGGAATTTGTTTTGGTGCATGTCAGACATCTCTAAATATAAGAAGATAAGAAAATCAAGCATTAAAATTTAATAATATAAATATAAAAATATATACACAGTATGTTTTAAAGGTAAAAAAAAAAATAGGAAGAGAGTATTGAGTATTTCCAATATGCAAGTATATAGCTGAGCGTTAATGTGACGCATAGAGTTGTGAATGCAGTGTCAATGTGATATTATAGAGGCAGAGGTGGAGTGTGAAAGATTTACTGGGTGTTGAAGCAAGTTACGACTATTGACCTAAATGTGTACATGGCATGAGTTTTAAAAAGTATAGACTACTGAAAGTTCCTGATTAGCGAAGTTACATTTGCAAACAATCTAAATTATATTCAAGTGCTCTTTTGGTACAAATTAAGGAAACCGAGTCACTTTCATCTTTTTTATTGTTGTACTCGCAGCCTGCCCTAAATTAATTCTCCTTTACGCAGGGTCGTACTGGGAAAAAAATTCAGCCTTGGACTCGGGCTTGAAAAAAAAAACAAAGCAAAGCTCCCTTCAAAGAGCCGCAATTCCCATCACAGCTCCGAAGGAACTTTTGAAACTACTGTATATTTTATCAAGGCAAACTCCTTTAACCCTCATGTCGCTTAATATTAAAACATTTTGCAAGTGGAAGAGAGAAAATCTTGTTTTGCCAAATCTTCATAAGGCGTGTTCATCAAAGACCAAAAGTGCTGTCATACATTTTCAGAAATGATGCTCAAACTAATTTAATATATTTAGTTCTTAGTTCGAACTAATTCTAAAACAAATCACGTTGTGTGTTCAGGATAAATAGCTATTTCCTCAAGTTAGCCCTGTTATCTTTCATTGTGGGGGGCCAGCCGATACCGGATTTTTTGTGGCCGATATTGATCTTAGAGAGTATCTGTCAACGTTTCCTCAATGTGTTTAGTTCACTTATCACGAAGCCACAGCCTGACTCAGCATGAACCAGCGTCTGCTTAGAGGTGGAGAGCCAATGGAAAAAATTAGTTGATTTACCCCGAGCATCTTCTTCTGCATTGTGTTCTGTAAAAACAAGTTTTCATATTGGCACATATCAGACAAAATATGTACAGATACCAGTGACTGTATGAAGATGGATGACACGTCTTCACCTTGGCTAACACGTGTAAAGTCATTCACTGATATCGATACACGTGCGATCAGGCCAGTATCCCAATAAATCGGTGACATTTATCACTTTAATAATACGTTATAACATAAAACATATTGACACCAACACAAAAGATTTCCAAATGGCACCTTGCTGTAGATTGGACCAACAGATCAACCCAAGCAACACTGGTCTGAAATTAGAGAATTAAAAAAAAGAAAGAAAAAGAGATTCAACATTGTGATGGGTGTCACCCGTGTGTCAGGGTTGAGACACTGACGGTGATAATTCTTTGCTCACAGTTCCACTGTGACATTTAAGAAGCTCGTCCGCCCAGACAAGAAGAAAGACATTTCAGGGAAGACTGACTGATAAATGTTTTGTCTCAGATGAACTTTTTATTTCAGTTGAAATGTCACTTAGCTGGATGTAAAATTCACAAAAGAATTCGATCAAATCCACAAAGGACACAGCCTCCTGCCAGTTATTGTACATAATTCAGATTTTAAAAAAATCTTTCTATTATTAACAGTTGGCACTGCCATCATCATGAGCCAGGAAATGACTCTACGTCTGCTGCCCAGATGACAGTCTTGTGCATGTCAGCTAACTCCTATAATGTAATGATCAATTATACTTGAAACAAACAGAGTCATGCTTGCTTTGACAAGAATAGCCTGCAGGCTGCTTAAATGTCGCTGCCTGTTGTCACAGAATGAAGACAGAGGCTGCATCATTGAGAATGTATAAGTTCTCAACGATGATAATTCAATCATAGTTTCGGTTTTATATCAGATCTGTTATTTCATGATGCTCAGTATTTCCCACTGTGGTCCTTGTTGAAGAGAAGAGAAGAGTACTTGTGGGTGAAGGTAATGTTATGGAGATATAATCATGTGTGTGAACTTCGCACACTGTGTCTCACACTGCAGCAATTAGCGCAGCGGCTCCAGCGTGCACCACACAGGAGCAGTTCAGGGACTGTATCGAGTTGTTCGTAACCCTGGAAGAGCTCGGAGCTCTGTAGTTATAGTGTCGAATGCAGCATAATTGACAGGGAGCATGTAACGTTGCACGTTTAGACAAGTGGACTGATAAAAAACGAGGGACGAGAGGCAAGGGACAAGATTTTGGTTTGCTTTGTGGTTTTCATTTCTAGTTTGACGGATCGTGTAAACAGTCGGCATGAAGA